AAAAGAGATGTTCAAAGATTTTGTAGTAGTTGCATAGGTTGTCTTCAAGCTAAGTCTACCACAAAACCTCATGAACTTTACACCCCCTTGCCTATATCCAATGCTCCTTGGGTAGACATTTCCATGGATTTTATCCTTGGTTTTCCTAGGACCCAAAGAGGAAAGGATTCCATCTTTGTGGTAGTGGACCGTTTTAGTAAAATGGAACACTTTATTCCATGCCACCAAGTGGATGATGCAAGCAATGTGGCTAAATTATTCTTTCAAGAAATAGTGCGACTTCATGGGTTACCTAAAACTATAGTCTCCGATAGAGATGTTAAGTTCCTTAGCCATTTTTGGAAAACTTTATGGGTAAGGCTCGGAACTAAACTTTTATTTTCTACCACATGTCATCCCCAAACTGATGGGCAAACTGAGGTAGTTAATAGGTCTCTTGGGCCTATGTTGAGGGCAATCCTCAAAGGCAATAAAAAGTCATGGGATGACTATCTCCCTCATGTGGAGTTTGCCTACAATAGGGTGGTCCATAAAACCACCAACATGTCTCCTTTTGAGATTGTTTATGGTTTCAACCCTTTAACTCCTTTGGATTTATTACCCCTTCCCGATGTAGCTTCTTTTATCCATAAAGAAGGCACATCTAGGGCTGAATTTGTTAAAAATTTACATGAGAGGGTTAGAAGTCATATTTAATCCCAAACCGAAAAATATGCAAAATACAATAATAAGGGTAGAAAGGAAGTTGTCTTCAAGGAAGGAGATTGGGTTTGGCTACACCTTAGGAAGGATAGGTTTCCTTCCAAAAGAAAGTCCAAACTTAGTCCTAGAGGAGATGGACCCTTTCAAGTCCTTAGAAAAATCAACAATGCCTATGTCCTAGATCTCCCTTCTGAATATGGTGTTAGTCCTAGTTTTAATGTTTCTGATTTATCTCTCTTTACAGGACTTGCTACCCAAGAGAAGGATGCTTTGGATTTGAGGACAAATCCTCTTCAAGAGGGAGGGGATGATGGAGGAGGCCCATGGGCCAAGGGCCCAACTACTAGGGCTATGGCAAAGAGAATTCAAGAGGAGTGGGCCCAAGCTCAAGGAAAGCCCATCACACCTTTGTGTATGAAAGGAGAAGTTATTTTATTGAAACTTCTCCTTGAATTATCTTTTGATTTTAATTTACTCAAAGATGTTCATAGTATTTAACTTATGATATATACACCTCCTTTTTATTACAATTACACCTCCTTTGTTTAAAAAGGCTAAAATTGTTGACAGTAGAGCTCGAATTCACACACATACTTACGTTGAGAAAATCTTAAGTCTTCTCCCTTAACTAATTGGGCAAACCACCCGCTTGTTCTTTTTTATTAGTTTTTAATACATCACAATGCGTTTCCTTGCTTTTTTCTCTATCAAATAGAATACGTGACTTTTTTAATGGAATTTTTTATTCGCACATTTATTTTAAAGTTTCATGTTGAAATAAAATTCCAACACAAATTAACATATTTTATAACTAATATCTGGTTTTAAACATGATATGAAAATATTATGATATAACTTGATAAGATTTTAAATTAGTATTTTATTAATGGTTGATAATTAGAAAATAAAACACGGATAAATACATTTTTTGAATTTTATATCTTAGATTTAAGATGAATAAATATATTAAGTTAATTAATAATTTATTTAAAATGTTAAAATTTAATTTATAAAAATAATATTTTGAAAGAGAAGTGTTATAATAACACAGATGTAACTTTTACTAAGTATTACTTTGCTCAATAACTTTATATTAAATGTGAATTTTATAAATTCAACCATTAGATTGAAAGTTTTTTACTCTTAGATCATATATACAAAATTTTATATGAATTCAAGATGATTTGATACTTCATTCTTGTAAAATAAAATTGACGTAATATATGCATTTCAAAATATATTAAAATATGAGCACTTTGATTACCTTCAAGTTGTTGTTCAATTTTAACAAAACTTGATATAAACATATAAAGTAATATGAACTTTCAATCTAACGGTTGGATTTACAAAATTCACATTTAATATAAAGTTATTAAACAATGTAATACTTAGTAAAAATTATCCTGATATTATTATAACTCTTCTCTTAATCAAATTATCTAATATAATAATTATTATTAGTAATATAATTATTATATATATTATTATATATTATAACGGTCTGGACACATCGAAATGTGAAAGATCCAAAGATAGTATAAGTTAAGATTGTATAGTTGAGGATAACTTAAATGAATTAATTTGTGTTACCTATACTAACATGCATCTGCTTTTCAGTAGCTTATCTTATCAGAACTCCATAGTTAAGCGTGCTTGACTTGGAGTAATATAGGGATAAGTGATCTTTTGGGAAGTTTTCCAAAAATTGTGTAATTAAGGACAAAACATGCTGAAAAGTGAAGTATTGTGAAATAGAATCGTTGAGAGGCCAAATATGAGTGTTTTGTAGCGACCGAATTTACGACGTCTATAAAATTTAATAAAATAAAAAATAAATTTTTAGCGACCGATTTATTCGGTTATTAATTTGGTCTCCATACATATCAGCGACCAAAATCATTGCAACCATTTTGCAACTGAAATTTTCGGTCGCTAAACCAAAACCGAAAATTTTTTGATAGCTATTGCGACTACTTAAATTCATTCGCTAAAGTAAATAACGACCGATTTTAGCAATTTAGCGATCAATTTTGATGGTCGCTAAATGCAATTTTTTTTTATAGTAATAAAAATTAGTCATTGTTTTTTTTGCTCATATTAATACAATGGTTATCAAAAAAAAAAAAAAAACTTAGCGGTGGACAATTTGGATAATATTCATATAATTTGAAGTTATAAATAAAATACGTTAACACTTAAGTCTTGTACATACTTCTCGCCGATTAAAGAGACATAACTATTTTCTTCCGGGTCGGTCCCTGTTAGAGTAAATTGGTATCCAATAGAGATTCCATGTCCAAGCATAGATTGAACCCTAACCCTCATTTAAGGAACAAATGTCAAACCACTTAAACTAATAACTTTTGATTAAGAAAAACAATTTAGACAAACAAATAAGAAAAAGTAAAAAAGTTGCTTATTTTATTGAAAAACATTTTTTTAGAAATAAAACAAGCTTATATATATATAAGGAGGAATTTGTTTATTTTAAAAGTAATTATTGGTAGATTTATTACACTAAATAACTTATATTCTATATTATATTTCAACAATCCAATTAATCATTGAATTAAAAATTCAGATTAAATTTACAAATTTTTAAAAAAAAAATTAAAATCGTGATACTTCATTATATAAATCCAAATAAACATATAAAATGTTTTTATGATTAACTATCAATTTGAATTAATAAAATGAAATGTCGAATAATTTTGTAATTTTTAAAATATTTGTGAACTTAATCTATATATTAATTTTTTTAATTTAATAATTTAATAATTTAATCATTAGATGTAAATAATGAATTATTTAGTGAATTCCTTCCACACTATATTTTTCTCTCTATATAGTAATTCAATACGCATGTTCTCCGTTAATTTGAAAATATCTGTACATCACAACATTATAATAAATGAACAGTTACATTGATTTATATCAACCATGCTAAAATTCTTGAGAGAAAAGGAGAAGATGAGGAATTGGTTAATGTCTTGTAAAATCTGATAGGAAGAATGTAGACAAAATCCTTCTCCTAGGGCAAAAGCAAAATCCAGACCACCTAAACAAGAAACATACTTGAAATGTCTAGAGGCAGGCAATGAAGCAATGCATGTTAGCTACAAGGTTAATGGTGACCCACCACTTTACTGCTTCCAAATCAATCCACCTCTGATCATACCAATTGATGGGGTTTTAACCCATAAAGACACTTCTTTGTCATCTGATTTCTCATGAGTTGAGACATACTTTTTTATCATTATATCAATACAAAATATTATCATAAAAAATAATAATTAATTTCTGTAAAAAAAAAAAAAAGCATAAACACTATCCTTTTAACTTAATTTATTTCATATACATTAACAACATTTAAATATTGAACAATTGATTAGAAAACACGAAATAAAGTTACTTACTACACACTTTTTGGTGTCAAATTGAACAATTCACATGGCACTCTTGATTTTCTATTTCAAATGAAATGGACCCTCACATCAATGCCACCAAAGTTATCAGGCGGCCACATGAAGATAAAAACTGGCTTGGAAAATAAAGAAAAAGGTGAGGAATGGTCACATCTCAAATTTGGATATAATCAAAAGTGGTTCAAGCACTATTTTGGCATTTCAAATAGTGACATTGTGTTTGGTAGTGATGATTTCGTTCCTTGCTAACAAACTATTATTATGTTTTAATTTGGACATTGTGTCTCAGAAATTCTAAGACTTTAAACAAAATTTATATCTGTGATCTATTTTAATTTTGACTTTAGTTATTGTATAATATTAAATGATACAAACGCATTTGATAAAACAACTTACTAGTATGTTTTGTTAGTTATTTATTTTTAAGACTTTTTATTTTATTTCATTCTTATAATATTGAGAAAGTGTGGCATAGCATAAGTTGGCAATTTGTTTCAATGAAGATGAGCAGGGAAGTGGTCTGTAGAGGAACAAGAGAGATATTTTAGTTTTAGACAATGATGAACTCAAATTATTTAAATAAGATATTGAGTTTGAATACTTTAGATAAGAAAATGTAGTTAAGAAAAAGTTTTACTAAGAATATTTAACTAAATTTTTTAATAGACATTAGTTACTAACAAAAATCGAATGATATTGCAGACAATTATGATTATTCAAAATAATAATAGTGAATGGTGAAACTTAACTTTCTAACTTTCTCTGCTTTCTGACTAGTGACAAGACAGTTTTTTACCTAGTCCAAAAACACACCTACACAATCACTCAAATATATATATGACTATGAGCACAAAGAATTTCAGAGTAAGTAGTTCCAATGCTTAGCTTCATCCTCAACTTTTCCATCCACACATTCAATTAAAACCCCTTCATAGTGGAAAGAATGGAAAAATCCAACCTGAATCCAAAATCACCCACCAAAGATAGAAATGCATATTTTTCTTCTCCTCATCTCACACATGATCAACCAAACAAATTTGAACCACACCATAGTGGACTTAGAGCTCTAGACCATGAGGTTAACGATTTTGATGCATACAACAAGTACTTCAACCAAGTGAGCAACAATGACAGCATCCAAAAAGTGACCATCAACAGAGTCTCTCCCCTGCTCAACATGGACACAGAACACAAGCACAAACACAATCCAGAACAAGGTGACATCACAAAGTCCACAAGGTCATTCTCCTATTCTGCTTCATCATCACTTGGTGTTGGTGGTGGTAACCGCAACAACATGATCATGATGAACAACCACAAAGCTCATTCATTCCATGCTGCAACTTCAACACCACCACCACCTTCATCTTCCAAGTCCACTTTGAACAACAAAGCTGGTTTGTTATTCCACCACCCTCAAAAACCAACCACAATCTCAGCTACTAAACCTCCTCATCAAACATCCTCCAATCTTACAAAGAAACTCAGAACCTCCTTGTCAAAACCCATTTGGCTTTTGAGAAGAAAATGCCCTTGCAATGATAGAAAGTCAGTGCAAGTCAAAGGAAACACAAATACAAACACAAACAAAAACACCCCAAAAGCCAAAACTCCAACAACCCCACAACCCCAAACCCTCTCACACAAACATTCCTTGAATCACAAAACAAAATCCAACAAAGAAGTGAAGTCTCAAAGTCAAAGGTTGTTCCAATTCCAATCTGCCATGAACCAAGCTAGAAGGCCCACAAGTGAAGGCTTCACTTTCCCTTTGTTCTTGGCAAGTAACTCCAACAACCCCACAAAGCCTCATCATCAGGTTCTTCTCAACGTGGTGCATGAAGAAGAGGACACAACCCCACGTGAGTCCTTGCACGTGTTCCAACCTCCAAGCCCCCCCAAGTCACGTGCCATGGATGATGATGCAGCTAGTGATGCAAGTTCTGATCTTTTTGAGATAGAGAGCTTCTCCACTCAAACTACTACATACCCCATTATCACACCCTCATCAATTTCACAGTGCCATCAAACCACCGATCATGAGTTCTTCTTCGCCGCCGACGCCGGCAGCAGCGGGGCGGCGGCGGCTGCTGAGGGATATTGAGGTGCTGCCACCACTATAAGGTCAAAGTTGTCAAACAAATCAACTTATTTGGCTGGCGAGCTTCTTTTAATTATGATATGAAATATGAATACACTTCATGTGTCAATTCAATAAGTTTGAATGCTGATTTCTTCTTTTTGGGCTTGTTGAAATAAATTCTTTTTGATCTGTTTTAACAAATTTTGGAGTCAAATGTATGAATGAATTCTCACTCAATAAAAGCTTGTTAAAAGTGTTTGATAGTTATTTATATGCATTTGACATGTTATATATTTATATATAATTAAAAATTATAATAATTATATACAAATACATATTATATTTAAATATATAAGTAATATTTAAAATTTATATAATATATATTTCAAACATATAAATTATATTTTAGATTTAAGATAAACAATTTATTTTATAATATAAAATTATTTTTAATTATTATAGTTTATTTATAAAAATATTAAATTTAATTTTTAAATAAATATGATGAATAAAAAAAATAAATTAAACATATAAAAAATTTAATTAGAAAAAAAATTATTCCTAAAAATGTTTCTAAAGTAATTTTCTGTACTGTCCGAACTGCGAAGCCGAGCTCCGAGCACGGCTTCACAGCGTAAGATGACCTCGGGCACGCGCTACGCGACGTCAGCTCGGCATTTAAGTAGATCATAACTGATCTCAAGGGACCTCGCTCCAGACGAGATCCATTATCTAATCTTATCATATCTTATCTCAGGCCCAAGGCCCAAAGCAACCCTAATTCACACTAAGGTACGTGCATTACTTATACGAGACTCATACTCCCACAAATACTAACTTTAGCATCGGAGTCTCTTTTGCAGGTACCACCCCCATATTGGAGCATCAAGCGTACCAGTGAAGGAGGCTCACCGATCTTACCAGGAGGATCAGCTCTACAACAAATTTCCTATAAGAACATTTGGCACCCACCATGGGGCCGATCAAGACAGCTCTTATCGGCCACGCTTATGGTTTTCACCAGAAGCCATAGTAGACGCATAACAGACGACGCAAATCACTCAACTACCATGGATAACAAAGCAGCGTTGAGGAGACTAATCGACCAGGTCGAATAGATGCGGCAACAACACGCCGTCGACCTACAAAACATGCGTGCCAAGCACGACACTGACCTAGCGACAATGTGTATCGCTAATGAAGCCGACCTGGCGGCGCTACGCGCCGAGAACGAGCGAATCCGCGCTCAACTCCCTCGACACCACTCCGATCATCCTCCTCATACGAGCAACCACAATGAGGAGGAGGAGCACTCAGTCTCTCAACCCCGGACCGCAACTAGGGCACCGACTCAACGACCTGCCACACATCGGTCCCATGCACCGACACACAAGTCGGCCTATGAAGTCAGCAAGGCCCTTACTCATATCCCAGGGGATCAGACAACCTTCCGCCGCCACCCTTTTGTGGATGGCATCATGGAGACGCCACTCCCTCATGGGGGGAAGCCTCTCCACCTTGATCGCTACGATGGCACGACGGACCCGAATGAGCACATCGACCTGTACACAACATAGGTAAATCTCTACACTAACAATTATGCCATCTTGTGTAGGGTGTTTCCGACCACTTAAGGGGGTCGCACTCAACTGGTACACCCAACTGCCTGCCGAGTCCATTGACAGCTTCGGCACCCTAGTCAGAAGGTTCACCGCGCAATATGCGACGAGCCGACCTCACCATGTAACTTCAGCCGCCCTGGCCAGTCTCAGGCAAAACGACGATGAACCATTTCGGGCGTTCATGGAACGATTCGCTGCCACCTCGATCAAGATCAGTAACCTGAATCCCGAGGTCGCCCTACATGCCATGCTTATGGCACTCAAGCCCGGGCCATTCGTCGACAGCCTGTGTCGTGAGTCTCCCCGCGATATGGACGAGCTCCGCGCCCGTGCTGCAGGCTACATCCAGATGGAGGAACACTCTGCCTTCCGTGACCAGGTTCGCGGAAAAGGACCAGCGAAGCCAGAACAGGGGCACAACGATAAGATCAAAGTCAACAATGACAGCCAGTTCAAGAAGTTGACTAGGGCAAACAGAGGGGGGAGATATGACTTCTACACTCCCCTGAACGCACCCAGAGTCCACATCCTGGAAGAAGCCAGCAACAACAACCTACTCGCCCTTCCACCACCAGGTCACACTCCCAACAGCGCCGACAAGTCCAAGCACTGTCGGTACCACAGGAACCACGGTCACACCACGGAGGAGTGTCGCACGCTCCGGGACCGTATCGAAGAGCTCATCCAGGCAGGTCACCTCGGCCAATACATCCAGCGACAGCAGGGTCACCGAGGAGGCTATGGCGGTCGGGGGCGTGGCAGAGGCCGAGGTTCGGGAGCTCGCACGGACCAACCCTCTGGCTCCCAACAAAATGCCGGCGGCGCAGTGCAGGCCGAGATAAGCCAGGAGACAGGGACAGCCCCCTTACGGGGAGTGATTAACACAATCGCAGGTGGTTTAGCTGGGGGAGGCGCCAACAGCTCGGCCCGGAAGAGGCACCTACGGAATATCAACTGTATCCACTCTACCACCTTGGCCTCGCACCAAAGCTCACCGCCGATCTCCTTCTCTGACGAGGACTACGCGGGTGTCTACCCCAACCAAGATGATCCCATGGTTATCGTGGTGGAAGTCGCCAACTGGGAGGTATAGAAAACACTCATTGACCAAGGGAGTTCGGCCGACGTTCCTCAGGCTGGACGTCCCCCATTCTCTCATCCAACCTCACACGGAGCCCCTAGTCGGTTTCGCAGGAGAGCGAGTTCACACTCGCGGGTACGTAGACCTACTGACAACTTTCGGAGTACCTCCAGATACAAGGAGAGTCATGGTCCGATACCTCCTCGTGGAGGCCAACACCTCCTATAACATCATTATCGGGAGACCAACCTTGAATCAGCTCGGAGCGGTGGTATCCACCCCACACCTCACCATGAAGTTCCCAGGGAATGACGGTAAAATCATCTCCGTCAAAGCAAATTAGAAGACAGCTCGGCAGTGTTACGTCGAGAGTCTGAAGATCTCCTCGTCCAGCAAGCAAAGCAAGGGGGATCCCCCCACTGTAGCTCCTTAAGTTCCATTTCCTTTTTCTGTATGAACGAAGTTGTGCACTCTTTTCCCGCCTCAGTCTTTAACCGAGAGGGTTTTTAACGAGACACACAGACACAATCAATAAAATCACTCATTTTGCTCAATCCATATTCTTATTTTTTGTTTTTACAAAGGACGAAATCGAACCAACCTCTTTCACTCTCACTAAGGTCGAGTACGAACCTTAAGAACGCCTATCCAAGGTCGAGTCCGAACCTCGGTAAAATTTTGAGGTCGAATACGAACCTCAACACTCTTATTCGAGGTCGAGTCCGAACCTCGTTAAAATCTTGAGGTCGAATACGAACCTCAACACTCTTATCCGAGGTCGAGTCCGAACCTCGTTAAAATTTTGAGGTCGAATATGAACCTTAAGAGGTCGAGTCTGAACCTCGTGAAAATTCTCAGGTCGAATACGAACCTTAATACGCCTATCCGAGGTCGAGTCCGAACCTCATTAAAATCTTGAGGTCGAACACGAACCTCAACACTCTTATCCGAGGTCGAGTCCGAACCTCGTTAAAATTTTGAGGTCGAATACAAACCTTAAGAGGTCGAGTCTGAACCTCGTGAAAATTCTCAGGTCGAACACGAACCTCAATACGCCTATCCGAGGTCGAGTCCGAACCTCGTTAACATTTTGAGGTCAAAAATGAACCTTAATACTCTTATTTGAGGTCGGGTCCGCACCTTAGGTCGAAATCGAACCTTCTCGAAAAGATTCATTTAAAACCAAGGTCGAGGTCTAACCTCGGCATGACCAACTTGGAGCAAAGTATCACCACGCATAAAAACACACAACAAACACCAAACGAGTCTCAAAAACGCGTAAAACAGTAAAAATTAAGCGCAAATAGACAAAGAAAAATACGTATATACAAAGCTAGGTTTACCGAGTTCAATACATGAATTCAAGGAATAGAAAACTAGAATACAAAAACATTAAACTGGCCTACGCAGAGGCGTTTTCACTGGAGCTACCCTCGAGGTCGTCCTCCTTCACCAACTTCCCAAAGCGGACCACCTTCTCCACATGCATGGAAGAGAAGTCGAACCCCGGGGTGAGAAGCCTTGCTTGATGAGCCGCCTTGAGGAAACCACGCTTATGCTCAACCACGATAGCTCGTTCGGTTTCCCCCAGCCTCTTCTCCAGTGCCGCCCTCTCCGCCTCCTACCTGGCCAGCTCCGCTTTTAAGGAGGCGACCTCCTCCTCTTTGCCGCCGATCACAACCTCATCGCAGAGATGCTTCTCGGTCGCCGTCGCTAGCTCGCTCTTCAGAGAGGTCACTTCATCCTCCAAAGAGCGACCCGGCTACGGGAAGATGTCACCTCATCTTCGAGGAAGCGCACCCGACTTCGGGACGAGGAGGCCAGCCCCTGTAGCTCGCCCACCTGAGAAGCATAGTTCTCGTTCGAGCACAAAGCAATCTCCAGGGACTTCTACACCCTCGCAAGATCCCCCCTCGCAGCTCGTAATTCGACACTTAGGCCCTTGTTCTCCTCCTTCAGGACCTTATTCTCCCCCTTTAGGACCTTGTTCTCGTCCCTCAAGGGTTGAACTCGGCCCCTCAGTCTGGCTAAATCCTCCTGCTGTTTGGACCACTGAGGCTTCCAATGGCCCACAATGGCCATAGCCCTCTACAGAAGGACCTGGGCAGCGTCAAAACTATCCTCAGGCCCGACCTCATCTATTAGCCCCTGGTCCTCGGAGCGCACCGAGCCTTGAGGGAAGAACTTCTCGGCAGTCACCCCCGCGCTCCACAGCGAGTCCATGTCAGCCGAGGCGCTCACATGGTCCAACCGCACCTTTAAAAGCCCTTCCCGAAGCGGTGGGCTATGTATCGGCTTCGGGAAGCCCCTTGCGACGAGCCAGACGGGGGCGCCGAAGCTGCAGGGGTGGACACGGGGACCTCAAGACTCGGCCCCTCGCCACGAGCCTCGACAGAGGCGGAAGCCGGCGTCCCCTGCTCGGCAACTGGAAGGTCCATATTAGGAACCTCCAACCTCACCTGCGAAAACTAGCGCCATGTCAAAAAAAGGAGAAAAATAGGACAACACAGGAAATCATGAAAAATAGGGAACACTACTTACCTCAGCGGCATGGGCAACTTGCTCAGGGACTGGAGCCGCCACCTCGGCAGACTGGGTGGCCTGCCCAGCATCTCCTGCCTGCGGAAGATGGCCCTAGGTCAGAACACAAGAAAACACAATAGAAGACATCAAAAAGCCGAAGAGACAAGGTACTCACCACCTCGGCAGATTGAGCAACCTGCTCGGCAACCTAAGCCATCTCCGCAGTGGCCACCCGAGAAGCCCCCTTAGGTGGTGGACTCTCGGTAAGTTCCACCGCACCAGTGTCGGCAGCCTTGGAGGCACCTCCTCAGCATCTGGAGGGGCAGAGGTCCCCCGACCTCCTTTTCTCCCCTCTTTCTTTTTCGATTCACTTTCAGGGGGGAAGCATCTTCCTCTCGAGGCTCGGGGACCTCGAGCTCGGTAACATTGTAGCGATGTTGTAGCTCACACCACAAGTTCTTCCCCATGATACCTGCAGACAAGAAATAAAACACATCAGCAAGTGGAACCTACAGAAACTCCAACAAACCACCAAAAAACAAAATACTCACTCTCTAAGCCCTTCTCCCTGTACGCCGAGTTCGCAAGCGACAGAACGAGCTTGCAATCCAGCG